TGTTGTTGTTGTTGTTGTTGTTGTTGTTGTTGTTGTTGTTGTTGTTGTTGTTGTTGTTGTTGCTGCTGCTGCTGCTGCTGCTGCTGCTGCTGTTGCTGCTGTTGCTGCTGTTGCTGCTGTTGCTGTTGCTGTTGTTGCTGTTGTGAGGCGGGTGGTTGTGATGGTTGTGATGGTTGTGATGGTTGTGATGGCGGCTGTGATGGTGGTTGTGATGGTGACTGTGATGGTGGTTGCTGCAGCTGCAGTTGTTGTGACTGTTGTTGCTGCAGATTTTGTTGATTTTGTTGATTCTGCTGATTCTGTTGTTGATGCTGTTGATGATGCTGTTGATAATGCTGTTGGTGATGTTGTTGATGCTGCTGTTGATGATGCTGTTGGTGGTGCTGTTGGTGGTGCTGTTGATGCTGCTGTTGATGCTGCTGTTGTTGAAGTTGAAGTTGATACACGTTTGGTGGTCTGTATAATAACCCATGCGGCGATTGTGGTTGAACCTGTTGGGTTGATTGTGGTTGGGCCAATGGCTGTGAACATAATGGAATTTGAGAATGAGGAATATTTACTAGCGCATTATGATGATCATAATACATTTGTCCATGATGATACTGAGGCTGAGTGAGATCCACCATTGGCCTGTATGGAGGAGGATTGTAATATTGCAGTTGAGGATGGGGCCTTGTATGGGATTGTTGTTGTGATTGTGCTGTTGGTTGTTGCTGTTGTGATTGTTGCTGTGGCCTGAGATGCATTGAACGTTTAAATTGATGCGCTTGGATAATGGCTTGTGTCTGTTGCATAGCTTGATGCATTTGAGCTTGTTGCAATAGCATCTGCGATATTCTCTGGGTAGGTGATTTCTGGTTGAGGCTTGGAGCTGACTGTCCAACAGACTGAGTTGATCGAGATCTATTCACATTATCAGCAATATTACGATCACTACCAGATGGAGACACTGTTTCCACAACCGAACCCCTTCTGCTATTATGACTAACATTTCTACGGGTGGTAGCGCTATTATCATCAACTGTTAAATCAACTGTGGTATGTGGTTTCAGGCGTTTATTATTTGTTAATTCCTCAGCGGACACACTAAACCATCCAATGTCTGATTCACTTGTCTCTTCAGACGGATTCAACAGGTCAGCTATACGTCGTTTTGCTTGCGGAGGAGAAGCAAGCACATTAATGACGGATGAACCAGACACAGAAGACCTTCTTATATCGGGTTGAATGCTTTGTCTATGATCCATTGATGGTCCATTATATTTTCCGTGTGACCATCTATATTCGTAAGACTGCTTGCCATCAGCCGATTGAGATATTTGCCCACTAGTGTCTAGTGACCACACGTCTCTCGGCAACTTCTCATTCGATATTACACCATTCTCTTTCAAACGACTAAAATCATTTCTATCCTCAATCCTTTCTCCTTCAGCAACCAGTCGATTGTTTTCATATTCCTTTTTATAATAGTTCTTCACTTGTTGTGCAGTCTTCGTCTTCAATGCATCTGCAATGCGTTCCCAAGTACACCCAAATTTTCGGAGATAAGCTCTAAACATCTCTCTTTCTGCTGTAGACCAATAAGAAGAATGTTGAACGCGTTTCGGAGGAAGCTTGTCATCTCCCTTCCCAGATGCCCTACGTCCTTCATTATTAGAGCTAGCCACGGAACTTACGTCTACTTGCATTTCATCCTTTGCCTGATCCTTCCTCGTACGAACCGATTTTCTTTTTGAGCCTCTTGTTTTTTCCTTATCCTTATCCGATATTTCATCAGTTTTACTACCTTTTATTCTTCTCCTTCTCGTAGTTTTGGGTTTTCTTGAAGGCGCGCTTGTTTCTTCTTCAATGATCACTTCATCAATCGCAGCTTCATTGTTATTAGACTCGTTAATATCTTGCTTGAGATATTCATTATAATAGAATTCCCGGCACGCTTCTTCAGATTGCCCAGTGGTCATAGCTACGGTACGGAAGTCATCACCATACTTCTTAATGGTAACAGTAAGCAAATATCTCGCGTCCTCAGCAGTCTCTTGTAGACCTGTATCAGACGTGAAGAAGAAGTAATATTAGCATGATAATCTATATTAGACGGACTACCCTGTATTTCATGATCGTCGTCAACGTGTAATTGAGCTGTCGATCGATCAAATGTGAGTTTGTAGTATTCTGAATTGGTCTCATAATATTCTCACACCTTTGAGACCTTTTCCCTCTCTCTCTTTCCTCTTGAGTAGCCCATTCTCGTAAACTGTCTTCTCACCTTCACGTTGCTGCCCCAATTCTCTCTTTTTCTGCTCTTCTCTTTCTTTTCTTCTACGAGTAACGGCACCACTCCCAGTATCCTCTAGAGTTTGAGTCTTGGGTCTTTTCCTTGTTGTCAGTTCGATGGTAGGCCCAAGATTGGCAGCCTTGCGACGACCAGCCCCTCTACGCCTCGATCTACCATTTCTTCCATTAATAAGTGATTTAAAATCTACTTTTTTCTTATTCCGATAATAGAAGAGAATACATTGAGCAGCTGTCTTTGTGCCAATAGCGTCGGCTATCCTACTAAACTTCTTGGGAAACTCGGAATAGGCCTGTTTGAACGCATCAATTTCTTCAGGTTTCCATATACCTTCAGCCTCAACTCCTATTCCGTAGAATGTATACGGATCAGTAACCAATATACATTTATCATCAACATTCTGTTTATTATATTCGTTTGCATCAAGTATCATCGGTGGAATGGTGGCAAGTGTACGCTGAGCACGCAGTTCGGGATTACGGGATTCAGCAGATTCAATTCTCTTAATAATTTCAAACATCTCGGCATCAGACCTCACGGTATCTCCACGTCGGTTACCCCGTAACGTGGATACAGGTGCTGTTTGATCATTTTCAATTTTCTTCTCATTCATCTTATCTACTTTCCTCTTCCAGGCTTCATATAAAGCTTTATATTGGAGTTTCAATGTCATTTCTTTGTCAGTAACGGTTTCTTTCTTTTCGCGTAATGTCATAATCATTGCTTCTCGCAGTTTTTCGTGTTTGCGTATATTATTAAAGAAAAATGGATATTCTTCCGACCTCTTAAATATCCTATATGATTCAGAGCCATTCTGAGCACCGTTTTGTCTTAAAAGTGCTTGATTCTGCTCATAAATTCTAATGTGCAGAGGTTCAATTTTTCGACTCGGTCGATTGATAGGCGAAATCTGTCTCTGAAATGAATAAACATGGTCTTCAACCGAACCGGCATCAGATAAATCATATTGTGTATTATCCGCTTCGTCCGAGAGCGTATGTAACGATGAACTTTCATGTCCTGAAGTTTTAGGAACAAAGTCAGTATCGTGATGTTCTTCTATTTGACGTTCATATTGTTCTACGTCCATTTCGTGTAGGAGAACTTGAAGAAAAGCTTCCTCTTTTCGGATTTGCAAATCTAGGTTTCCGATAGCTTCGCTTAGAGTGGTAAGATCATCTACAGAATGACCTTTTTTCTCTCCTTGTGTTCCGACCCCTTCTTCTTTATACACGCTCTCAATATTTTCTTCTCCATTCGTCTCTCCGTCTTCCTGTGTTTTAGCATTCTTTTCAAATACGCTATCCTGCTCTGCAGGCAGCTGAGCATTATTCCGTTTTGAATTAAAATCACTCACTGTGCTCGATTTATTATCTGGTTCTTCGATATTTTCCAATAACGCAGCTTCATTCTCTGATAAATTTTTATTCTCTTTGTTGCTCACAGAAATTTCTGCTTTGGATGTATCCGAACCGATATCATTTTCTTTACCTATGGACAGTCTTTTGTTCTCCGCACTTGACTTCACGTCTCCAAGGAAATAACTGTTGCTATTTTGATTGTTCATTTGGCCGACGTCATTTGAACTGTAATTTTTTCTTTGCTTTGAACTATATGATGACTCGCCCGCTTGTTCCTCCTCATCTGTTGCGAGATCCATATCTTGAGACTTCTCTGAACTCGAAGCCACACTTTCTATATCCATTGGCTGTTCTGACATATTATCACTTGCTTCCTCTTTTGCGTCTATACCAGCATCCTTCTGCTCTGGACTTCTCCACCCTGTCCATCCTCCCCTATCATTACAACTGGCGCCGCTAGTACTAACAGCATCATTACCACCCGGGTCTTGTTCTTCAATAAAGTCATTATCCGCTTCAGAGTTTGTTTTTGTTAAAGTAACCTCGTGATCTATTTCATCTTCATCGTCAACGGTAATGATGGATGCCTCGTTTGTTTTAGATTCTCTACCATCAGCCGTAATCTCGACCTCCTCACAGTCATCTCGATTTTTACTATACTCTAGTTCATCGTTGGGTTTATCAGACATGCTCGTTAGAGTTATCTTGAGGATGTGTCCAGAAGGTGTCCTTTCCATATCAGGACGTTGAGGGGATGACGATCTCGAGTTCCCAGTTGATGATATCGCATGGGGTGACACACTCCGCGTGGATGATGTCTTTGTCGATCGATTTTGATGATAAGCAGAACGTCCCGGAGACTCGGAATTAGAAGATGAATCTGACCAAGACCTTGATTTTCTAACTTGCAATGAATCTCTTGCTCGCCAATGATTATGTCTTGTTGCTCCAGATAGATATCTACTACCTTTTTCAGAATCACCTGACTCGTCTCTTAGTATATCGTGTTTATATTCACCTAAATCATTGTTTCTATCAAAGTACTGTGGAGCTAAATTATTTCCACGATAATAAATATTATCTTTCGAATCCCAGTCTCGCATATGTCGAGGTCTTGTATAATCTCTGTCACGGTAATCATGTGCATCTCGATCGAGCGGTGAAGGTATATTCCTGTAATTATTTGGATCACGGTAATCGCGGTGGCTAATAAAAAGTAAACAAATGTGAGTACGATTTCTTGAAAATTAAAAGTTACTCGGTACGCTAACACAGTTATATAAGCTATCCTGATTGGTAAGCGTCCTAGGGTAATAGAGGCCATCATGTTTTCATATCGATATTAATACATGATATGTTAATATTGGAATAGAACGGAACGAGTCTTTAGTTGACTATTCCTGACAATATCAATCATCCACATATTCTGCCTTATAGCCTCCCCAGGACACTTCATTTTGCTCGAAAAAAAGCTCGATCATATATTTAGCACCGGAACTCCAAATACCTAGCACGGTGATACCTGTTATGATCCCGATCTTGATGGTATTCTCTCTCTCTTTCTCGTTCCCGTTCCCGATCTCTCTCCCTTTCTCGTTCACGTTCACGTTCTCTTTCCCTCTCACGTTCTCTCTCTCGTCCTCTTTCTCTTTCACGGCCTCTACTTGAATACGAACTTCCTCTACCTCGCACATCTCGGTTATCGTGATAACGATTTGAAGGATAGTCTCTGTAGTAAGGATTGCTATTATTCATGGGAATATAATCTCGATGCGTGTTCAAATTTGAACCTGGGCCTCGTGGAGGGAGCTTATCTGATGATGAGCTTGACATGGGTTGAGAGTTATTTGCAATGCGAAAGCGCATGTCTCTCGTCATAGAGCGTTCGCCGTACTTTGTTCTTGGCTTGACAATTTGTTGTTTTTATTTGTAGCCCATCCAACGGTTAGAATTATTTATTATTTCAGTAAAGATGGTATGGAAAAAGTTGATTAATTAAGGTTTGTGGATGCAATTGAATTTATTAACAAGTAAATTGCAAACCTCGCGCTCGTTTATTTGGAAACCTGAATCGGCTGAACCAACGTCAGGAATACTTCTTAACATATTAGAACCCAGACCCCTTCGATCAGAAAAAGGCATACCACCTCCTTGAGGCACTCTGTCCATATCTTCGTAGCCAACAGGCGATCGTTGCCGCACTCGTGGATAGTTTGTGTTTCGTTGCAATAAAGGTAGCGTCTGCACGTCTTCTCTGAAGTAGGCACGCTCCCTGTCCTCTCTAATACATCACGTTAAATGTTTTCCTTGACTGAGTGTACATATTATATGGGAAATAAGATAGGATGACCAATATATCCGTTGTCTACAATCACTTACCGGTCTCTTGGCAACATAGGCCTGTAACGTTCCTCACGGTCTCGCCGGTTGGCGAAAGATTCCATGGACTCGTTCATCGTTAATATTAATTGTTAACGGTTTAGTTTATTATCCAACTTGGCAGTATCAGGTCGGAGTTGACAGTCAATAAATCTTCAATCAGGTGACCTGCATTAATAAACCTTAAAAAGGGGATGGCTAAAGCGGGGGCAAATCACGTGGTTTGTACGGAATTTTTCGGAAGTATCGAAAGATTATTTGTGGCCGATTACATCATCGCGTAATATTGTCTTTTTTGTTGTT